ATGTTATGAAAGAATGTGAACTTAACTCAGAAATGTTTTTAGGGAATTTTTCATTTCCATTTCTGTGGATGTTGGCAATCTCTGCCGGTTTGTCAGGGGCCCTACACCCGCAGTGAAGCGGCCTGAATTCGATGGAGTTTCTTACTGACTTTATACCACATCTTTGACAAGAAGCCAAAAAGTGATCTGATGTCTAATGTGATGTCAAGACCAACAAGTGATTTTGGCAGCGTGAAGTTTAAAATTGCAGTATGTCATGCATCAGGAAACAATGAAATATTTTATTGCCTAAGTATCAATATCAATAACATTGGTAAATTTGTCATCAGCAGTTAGCAAGGTATGTATTGGTGATGTACAAGACTACTTAGACCCTTTTCAACTTTTATGTCCTAGATTTGCAAAGTCAAATGAATAATTAATTGACAAGCAGCTATTTGGCAACTGTACAGTGAAAAGTACCCTTCTCACTACGGATTATATGTACATAGAGAGAGAGAGTGCAAAGAATATTGTCCCCAACTGTTCCAGGTCTGCTAATGTATAACGTTTCTTCCTCAAGCTGGCCTGTTTTCATCTTCACAGAAGTAAAGATGGCCATATTGCTTTAATGAAACCTGTAATCATTTTATCAAGTCTTTATCAAGACAAAATGAAAAGGATTTTATAGAAATAGCTATAATAGTAAAAATAGAAGGAGCAAAATATGTTCCCATATCTTCCAAAACTACTCTTTAGCAATTTCTACCATAGCATCATAAAGAAACCTGGGTATTTTTGAAATAAATGGTTCTCATCAGAGCTGAATGAGAGATGAATATAAAATAAATATCTGAGAGACGTTTTCCTTTCTTAGATTGTGAACAAATTACTTTTTTCCAATCAATTTTTTTTTTTTTACTCACTTTCATCAATAGCTATTGGACTATAGCTTGTTTGCTATAGAAAGGCTTGTTTGCTATAGAAAGTTTGCAAACTTTCAGATTAGTAGTAAAGCAGTCAAGTATTCACAGAATCGCAGAATCATAGACTGGTGGGGGTTGGCAAGGACCTCTGGAGATCCTCCAGTCCAACTCCCTGCCAAAGCAGGGTCACCCACAGCAGTGGCACAGGATCACGTCCAGGAAGGTTTTGAACATCTCCAGAGAAGGAGACCCCACAACCTCTGTGGGCAGCCCGTTCCAGGGCTCGGCCACCCTCACAGGTTCTTCCTCATGTTCAGAGGGAACTGCCTGAGCTTCAGTTTGTGCCCGTTGCCCCTTACCCTGTCACTGGGCACCACTGAAGAGTCTGGCCCCATCCCCTTGACACCCGCCCTTAAGGTATGTCTAAGCATTGATGAGATCCCCTCTCAGTCTGCTCGTCCCCAGGCTGAACAGACCCAGTGCCCTCAGCCTTTCCTCATCAGGGAGATGCTCCAGTCCCCTCATCGTCTTCGTTGCCCTCCGCTGGACTCTCTCCAGTATTCTGTCCACTGTGATTGCTGTAAATCCATTTTTCATGTCCCTTTTGCCTGAAAACACAAGCCTTACTCTTCTGCCAAAGACCTTAGTATAACTTCTTGTTAACCAGCCCAAAAGTTGTCTCCTGCTGATTTTCTGTGATATCATTATTTTTACTGTGATAATGCCTAGGAATCTTAGCCAGGATCACAGGATCCTATAAACATAGGATCTTCGTTTTCCAAAGAGGTTATCCATGTGCAAATCAGTTCCTCGTCAACCATTTGTGCTATCTCGCTCACTGCTGTATGGCCTTTTAAAGGTGAGAGGCCCGTCAGGGAGGGGGGAAGAGAGCCACCCCACAGGGGACAAGTCAGACAAGTTGAATTGTCTTGAATTCAAGACAATTGAATTCAACTGTCTGAATTCAGTCAAGGCAGACACCTGCATTACACCCTCGGAGAAGGCGACTACAAAAGGGGGCTGCCTATTGACAGGGTCACCTCGGCCAAACCCCTACAACCTGGAGTTGGGACTACTTCGTAGCTGTCCAAGTCACAAAACCACGGTGTAGCGAGATGAGGGGGAGCCACGAGAAGGTCACACCGAGAGTGAACACAGAAATGCACGTTAACTAGAAAACACCCGTGAGAAACAAAAACCTTGTCTAGTTTGAAATAACTCAGGTACAAAAAAATAGAAGAGGAGAGTTAACATGGAGGTTGAATACATGGCTATAGGAGATGAAATTTAGAAGTTTTTATCAATTAGCATAACAAAGGATCAACAAGGAACAAGCGTAACCTATCAGAACAATCTTGACACTTTTCTTCTGAGAATTCAAAAGCTAATTGTTGATCTTAATTCACAAATCAGCAATATTTCTGTTGACAGAATATTGAACCTTATCCCGGTGATCTCTGTAATCCTAGACAGAGTGCTGGAACTCATGAGATAACAGACATAAAGCTGAAAGGTAACATGTAGGTGGACAAAGAGCATTATCAATAAAGTTGAGCACTTAAAGCAGTACTTACATCCTATCTAAACAGGTGTTGACATCTTCATCTTTTTCGTAGTCCTTGCACAGCTGGGCCACCAAAGCCCCGTACGTGAGTACAACAAGTTCTCTGCTCTGCCAGAAAAGGTTGAAATCGAAAATGAAGCAAACTAGAATCAAACTTTTCTACTTTTTTGAGCTGCTACTGTATTAAATGCAAGCAAAAATAACCTTTACATTAATAAAGAAACTTTTGTCCATGGACGTGGCATCACTGAAATCCACAATTCAAGTGTGACAGAACCTGAACTGATCATCCCTTGAGTCTCTGTACAGGGATTTTGTTTGTCAGAAATACCATTTCTTGGGATACAGTTACGATCATCAGGTGCATTCTTGCATCCTATAACTGCATATCCATACGCTGGATCGATAAATGCTGTCAAACACCATCCAAGATTAGCGACAAGCATTTAGTTGCAGGAAGAGTAACAGAGGCAATGAGCTATTGGTCCTTTTACAATAGGAACAACAGTATATGCACTAAAATTCCAGTTCCTTCACAAAGGTATGGTTGATCTGATTCAGATCATCAGCTACTTTCCTCCTCCAAAAAAAAATTAGCTCAGAATAATTAAAAAAAATACTATAATTCAGCACAAGTGTAAAGAATAACAACAAGCAGAGTAGAAAAGAATGAGTCCCACCGTCATTTCCCCTTCTTTAACAATCTTTACAAGTAACTTGAATCACTCTCAGTACTGTCAAGCTCTCCAAAGGCCTGGACAAACTCATTGTGACATTATTTCCGTATCTTAGGATGGAAGATGTGGTTGGTGTGGCTCCATCATACGAGCGAGATGAAGGGGATGGGTGAGGATGACAGCCGCCTGCCCAAGGAGCATGGAGAGCAACTGAAGAGGTGAGAGGCTTAGCTCCTCACAGATCCCATCACAAGCACTGCTCTGGGGTCTTCTGCTGTGCACCAGTCTGGAGGAAAGATTTCTTCCCCCCCTGCCCTGCCAGACCACCTCCACGCACCGCAGAACTGACTGCATTTAGCAGGAGCGGCAGCCAGCCCTTAGGCGAGAGACTAGGTTGAATAATAGTGAATACTAATGAAAACAATAGAACAAATCACACACGGAAAGGGAGAACGGCTTGGTGGAAAGACCTCTTCCTGCACCCTTTGCATCAAAAACTTGGAGTTTAATCAGTGTTCCCATTCTAACAAGTCACTGTTCAAAACCTTAAGTGGTATGGAACCACTTCCTAGGCTCGCCTTGCTGGTAACTCCTGCTTACAATAATATTGAATACTTTGCCAAATTCTCGTTAACAAGTTTTTAATGGAGTAAATGGATGTCATACAGGTTCTGTATTGTTCTAGCCTCAGCAAAAGTCTGTGTTGTAATAAGACAAACACCTTAGAGAAACTTAAGTATACTGTATCAACATAATTGTATTTATCAGCCACTCTGGCAATCCGTTGGAGTACTTCTTCTCTGTAAACTGATGTAGATTAACTTTAATATTATATTATTCTATTTCTTTTCAGGGGAGACCTCTGTCCCCTTTTCAGAAATCAGCACAACATTGTCTCAAAGCCTTCTGGAACTTCGCCGCTGCCCCAACTCTTATCAAAAATCACCGTTCACCACACAGACAGCCCTAAGGCTCCAAGCTGCTGAAGAAAGATTTGTGTGGAACCGGACCATCCAAACACAGATCTCCTTCTCTCTGTGTTTCACTTAACGACTGTCTAACCACAGAGGTACATAAACGTACCTAGCACTGCTATCTTTGACCATAAATCTCACTAAGCACTTAGACCTCTGCTTCTGAACAGACCCCAGTCTCAGAAACTTTGTGCCCCTCTTTCCTAAGCCTGCAGTCCCGCTGCACCAGTGCCTCTGGTCTCACATCCCCATCCTTTCACTACCTTCAGGCTATTCGGAAACACGACTGTATAAAATGCATGCAATACAATAATAGCTTGTTTTCACTCCATGCACAATTTTAATCCCACTTTACAAAAACGTCTTACTATTTTGTGGTTCTCCTGCTTTCTTCCTGGTGGCCGAGACATGTTGCTTGTGCAACGCCTGACGTACTCAATTGTCAGTCTATATCTTTTCTTCCTCAAGCAGCACAGTGTCTTCTCAATCACTGCATGCCCTCTT